TGTGCATACAAACAGAAAATTGTCTGAGAGTTTATGAGATGCTACCAAATTTTATATACTATTTTTTAAAAATTAATTTTCTAAAATATGAAATCAAACCATTTGCTGAGCTTTACCAAATCACTGCCCGCTAACTCATTTTCCAAAGAAATACTCATTTCCTAAAATACACGTGGCCATTCAGGTTAATGTTTTCTCACATACCTATCTTCACTGTAAAAACTAGGTTTATTGCTGAACATTTTCCATTTGTTTTCCAGATGACTGTAATTTGTTTGAAAGGACCATTTTGGAGTGTTAAGAAAAACTTCAATAGCTGTAGAGAGATGAAAGCTTACAGCACTGGAAATTAGCCTTGATAAAAGAGAATGGATGAAAAATGAATAGTGCCCACAAGGGGCCTTACCCACTTTGAAGACTGAGGAAAGAATGGAAAATACACACTTAGGTCATTGTTGACTCTGCCAGTATAACCACATTGACAAAGAACTAGCAAGAAGAAACAAAGCTTCCTAGAAGAGCTTTAGCTGCATCCATTTGATGTTGGTTAGCAAGAAGGTGCCTGTGAAGACTAGGGCAGAAACTGTTAAACATAAAGTGTTCCTAAAATGGTATCTGTACAATAAGGTCAATCCATGATAGAACAGAAAGCACAAGACCTTATGGCCACCTAGCATACAACTGAAAGAAGGATGTGAAAACCTCTTGGGTGGACCACATGACAAATTAAGAAAGAAACATTTATTAGATGCAGCTTGTTATGTAAGAAGACCCCGGAAGGTCATGGAACCTAGATGACAGATGACAGAAGGACGCCATTGGACTGTAAAAATCCAATTAGGAATTCGGTCTTAAAACTTGGTAGAATGAGCCAGTGGTCCAGCTACATGGAAGAAGATGAAAGCAGTAAGGACTGTACTATTCTGCTGTCCAGTAGATCTGTACTTGTATTGTAAGGGAGTATAGGCTATTGGACTCCCCAAACACTAGTTAGGAAGCTCTGGATTTGAATTCCTCTAAGAAACTTAATTATTGTGTGACTCTGGGCAAATCACTTAACCTTTCTGCTTCGTGGTTTCCTTATCTGTAAAATGAACATAGGAAGAACACTTTAAAGAATTACTGAAAGGATAAAATGGCTTTGCAAATCTTAGAGTGCTATATAAATGTCAGCTATGATGATGATCAATGATTGATTTGAACATAAACAGAAATTTATTGTGTTTACTATATGCAATGCACTAATGCAAAGCACCATTTAGCAGAGCCAGGATAAGGCAACACAAAGTCTGAAAATGGCTCTCAGTATGTTACTGTCCACCTGAAGCTTGGAGCCTTTCAAATAAGAAAGGTGACGTGACTCAGCACAAAGTACATACTACCTGTGTATTACAGCGAACAGAATTTTCTGGCACACATGTTTTTGGGGTAGTAAAGAACTAAAACAAAGTAGATGTCTGTTGACGGGAAAATGGTTAAACAAATTGTGGTACATGAATATAATAGAACATTACTGTACTGTAAGAAATAATAAGTATGAAGAATTCAGAAAAACATGGAGAGATGCATATGAAAGTATGCCGAGTGAAGTAAAGCAAGCTAAGAAAATAATATGCACAATGATTATAACAACATAAATATGAAAATAACAACAACAAACTTGTATCTAGAGAAGGATTGAGAAAATGCACCTCCTTCCCTTCCTTGCAGTGCTGGGGAACATTGTATTTCCTGCCAGATTCAGTTAATGTGTTGCTTAGTTTTACTGATCTGCTTTTTCCCTTCTTTTTTTTAATCCTTTGTTCTAAAGGCTGGCACTAAAGCCTTTGACAGTATGGATCACAACAAAATGAGGCAAGTCCTCGAAGAGATGAGAGTACCAGATCATCTTATTTGTCTCCTGAGGAACCTGTATGTAGGTCAAGAAGCAACAGCTAGAACTGAACATGGAATAACTGATTGGTTTAAGATTGGGAAATGAGTACAACAAGGCTATATATTGTCACTTTATTTATTTAACTTACGTGCAGAGTCCATCACGCGAAACGCCAGGTTGGATGAAGTAAAAGCTGGAATTAAAGTTGCCAGTAGAAATATCAACAATCTCAGATACATAGATGATACCACTCTGATGGCAGAAAGTGAAGAAGAATTAAGAAGCCTCTTGATGAGGGGAAAGAGGAGAGTGCAAGAGCTGGCTTGAAGCTTAACTTTAAAAAAACTAAGACCATGGCATCTGGCCCCACCACTTCCTGGCAAACAGAGAAAAAATGGAAGCAATGTCAGATCTGGGTACCTTCCCCTCTCCCACCCTTCTGCTTTCAGCTCCTTTTTTTACGCGTTGTCTTCCCCAATCAGATTATGAGCTGAGCGTAGGGACTGTCTTATTTCCTGGTTGTATCTGTATTTCCAGTGTCTACTACACCGGCATATTGTAAGTACTTAATAATGCTTGTTAACAATAAATTATATTAAAATTTAATTTAAAAAAAGATTTGCAAAGCAATTTATATATGCTATGTCATTTCATCTTCACAACAACCCTTTGAGGTAGCTATTATTTTTCCCATTTTACAGATGAGAAAATTGAGGCTGAGAGAGGTTAAATGACTTTATGAAGGTCACACAGCAAGTAAGTGTGAGGCAGGGTTAGAACCCATATCTTCCTGACTCCAAGTCCAGCACTGTGTACACCATGCCTATACCTAGCTACAAGAGCTAGGGAATCAGAATCAGTGCTTATATTAATGCCTCTTTCTTCTTTGATACAGGGATCAAATGCACTTGAAAGATAACCTAAAAAAATTCTCTTGCAAATGAGGAAGACTTGGGATCGACTTGTGCCTCTGACATATACTGGCTGTATGACCAAGGACGAGTCACTTAACATCTCAAACTAACTTACAGAGTGTGGCCAACTCTTGACTGGTGGGAATTCCTGGAGTTCCCTATTCCCAGTTCAGTATCCCCAGGTAGTGCTGGGGATACTTGATGCCTCATAGGGCCAAATAACATATGCCAAGTAGAATGCATGCTCCTTGAAGGCAGGGACTATTACTTTTTTTTTTTTGGTCTCTGTATACATGCATGTTGGGGGGGCAATGTGGACAAGGCTTTGGCCTTAGGAAGACCTAGGTCCAGGTTCCACCTCTGCTACTTACTGGCAGTGGAAAACCGGGCAAATCCCATCTCTGACAGATACTGGCTGTGTGACCACGGGTATGTCACTTAATATCTCAGTTCCCCAGAAAACTACCGAGACTGTAATTTACAGACATTGAACCTGTCAGGGATTTAGGCCTGTTTCAAACACTAGAAAGTACAAACAAGCTTTGGTAGAGAGAGTTCCCCAATCTGGGAGCTCATTCTATGGATCAAATTCAATAAACGTTGACTAAACGCTTACTATGTGCCAGACATTGCAGATATAAAAAGAGGCAAAAGACACTTTCTGCCTTCAGGGAGCTTACAATCTAATGGGATAGATAACATGCAAACAAACATGTTAAAAACCAACTCAATTCAATAAACATTTATTAAGTTCCTGTTACATGACAGGCACTTGTGCTAAGGCTGGGATATAAAAGGAGGCAAAAGACAGCCTCTGCCCTTGAAAAGTTTAAAATTGAATGCAAACAAATACACAAGCCACAAGCCTCCTTATTCATATAGGGTGGTCTCCAAGTCTTAAGTGTGGTTTTAAGCTATAAAAGCTTATTGTACTTTTGAAGCCTAAAACAGCAGTAAGACTTGGGGGCCTCCATATATGTGTGTGTGTGTGTGTGTGTGTATACATGTGTATATACACCTCATCTCTTCAAATAGACCCTTATATATAGTTCATATGTATTTGTGTATACATGTATATAGTTTGTGTGCATGTGATGTTTACATATATATCTGTGTATGCATATACATACATATATATGCCTAGCCTCTTTAAGTATCATTCATATATGTATATATGCCTAACGTCCTCAAATAGATCCTTATATATAGTTCATATTATACGTGTGTATATGTATACACAGTTCATAATTTATATGCATTATATGTATATATACTATATAGTTCAGTTTATATATGTACTTGCATGTATGCATGGGTATGTGTGTATGTCCTACACACATACCTACACATGCATATACATACCTAATCTCCTTAAATAGATCCTTAAATACATATAACTCGTATATAGTTTATATGTATGAATATGTATATATGGTGGTAGACAAAGTCTTCCTGAGTTCAAATTTGGCCTCAGACACTTACTAGCTGTTGGACCCTGGGCAAGTCACTTAACCCTGTTTGCCTCAGTTTCCTCATCTTTACACTGGAGAAGGAAATGGCAAACCACTCCAGTATCTTTGACAAAGAAAATCCCCAAACGGGGTCACAAAGGGTCGGACACGACTAAACAACATGTATGTGTGTGTGTGTGTGTGTGTGTGTGTATATATATATATATACACATATATATATACATATATATGTATATATATATACATATATATATATATACATATATATATGCATATATGTGTATGTGGGCGTGTATATACACCCATATTCACACTCTATCCATTACGCCACCTAGCTACACACACACACACACCCCTAACCTCCTTAACCAGATCCAGCATTCATAACTTCCCTTTTTTTCTCAGTCCACGTGGGAGTTTCCTAACTTTCAGCCCCCAGGAATGGGTCCTAAGGCGTGAGGACATAGGGGGTGAGTGGGACCGCTCGCTTGTCCACTTGCCATTTCCCCACCCCGCGGCCGAGTCCCAGGAGTAAAACGAGTGAGGTGGCCCAGGGTGGGTCTCGCCGACGGCCAAGGACCAGGCTAAGGGTCCGGGGTTCCGACTGCGCTCCACCCGCCGGGACCGTCCGCTCTCCGCTCGGAGCCCCGCCCCCTCCGGCGTGCGAACCACCCGGAAGGCCACGTGGTCCATTACGTCATCTCCCAGCGCCGCCGAGGACTGGAGCCGCAGTGGGGGTCTGACGGTCCGGACTCTCGCCTTGCCGGTGTGAACCTCTGAGTTTCTGGGAGGGCCCTAACACGGAAGTGGCCCCCGCTGTGGGGGTCACCCCCACCTCCCCCTTGCCTCTCCCCCCGCCCCGCTTCTGTGTCCTTCGCGGCTGCCCGAGCCCTCACCGGGCAGGGTGTCAGGTAACTGTCCCTCTTCTCTGCTCCTTCTGTTCCCCCCTCAACCCCCATCTTGGGGTTTCCTCTTCCGACCTGACCCGAGTCGTTCTCTGCCGGGGGAGGGGGCGGGGCGTAGGGAAGGGAAGGGAAGAGAAGCGGTGCCCCGCCCTCCTCCCCGCTGGGAGGAGCGCGGAAATCGAGGCGAGGTGGGGAGTGTCCCGGGGGGAAGCGGGGGAGGGAGGGATTGTGAGGCGCCGGGAGGGGACTCGGCCTGGGCGCCCAGGCTGGGAGCTATGGCCGGAGAGCGGGGTGGTGGTGGAGGTGCGGAGCTGGTCTAGGGCCCTGAAGGGTGCAGAGAGGTGGGGCTGCCCCGGAGGCCGGTTGTAGGACACCCTCCGAGAGGGTGAGGCAGGTGAGTTCCCTGCCCCTGCTGCTTTTGTAATTTTGTAGCTAACCGCCTGTCAGGAGGGGAAGCCCCCAGCCTTTCTTGCCCCAGAGTCCTGGATACCCTACGTGCGTTCCTAGATCTGGCGGTAATGCACATAGAACAGCTCCTTAAAGCCCCTACATTCTGCTCTCGGTCCCTCCACACCTCGTGGGGGGTGGGCCACTCCCTGGATTTTTTTCTCTTTTCATTAGTGGTCCTGGAGATACTGGATCGTCCCTGTGTACCGAGGACCATTGGGAAGACTAAGTGTTTTCTTGGTTTTTCCCTGGGGCCATGAGAATATACTCTGAAGGACCAAATCAGAGCACTTTTCCCACCAGATAACTACCACAAGTTTACACTCAGGTTTACAGAATTTTAGAATTAGAAGGGACGTAAGCTAGGCCATTCTAGTCCAGCCCATACTAGAAAAAAAGTATTCCCATCCAACACATCTGACAAATGGTCTGTCCAACCTTTTCTCCTTTGTTTGAAGAACTGTTATGAGGGGAAACCCACCCAGAGCCATTCCATTTTTGCATGGCTCTATTTAGGATAATGTGTTTAGAGCTTCAGGGGAAAACCGTGTGCTACATTGTATCTACGAATAGCATTAATAAATGACAAAATATAGAGTTTTTGGTACTTTCTATAGGAGGAAAAAGTCCACTAAAATCAAGTCAGCTAGCATATATTAAGGGCCTACTGTGTGTTGGGCACTATGCTAAGTGTTGGGGTTACAAAGAAAGGTGAAAAACAGTCCTTGTTTTTAAGGAGTTGACAGTCTAATAGTGGAGATAACATACAAATCACATACATAGAGGATAAATTGGGGGTACTTTCAGTAGGCAAGCATTAAGATTAAGGACTAAGAAGTTAACTTGTAGAAGATGGGATTTTACAGATAAGGAAACTGAGGCAAAGGTTAAATGACTTGCCTAGGATCACTCTTTCTTTATTTTGTACTTAAAAGAAGCCAGAGAAGCTAGGAGGCAGAGATGAGGAGAGAGAGCTTTCTAGGCTTGGGGGACAGTCAGTGAAAACACAGAGTTGGGAGATGGAATATATTGTTGGAGAAACACCTAGGAGGCCACTGTCACCAGATTGAAGAGTTTGTGGAGGACATTAAAGTGTAGGAAGACTGGAATGGTAGGAAAGGCCAAGTTTTGAAGAATTTTAAAAGCCAAACAAATGATTTTATATTCTGTCTTGTAGAGGATAGGGAGACATTGGAAGATGGGGCAGCATGGTTACACCCAACTTTAGTGTTTTGGGTTTTTTGGCTAGGCAGTGGGGTTAAAGTGACTTACTCAGGGTCACACAGCTAGTAAGTGGCAAGTGTCCAAGGCCAGATTTGAACACAGATCCCCTTGACTCCAAGGCCGGTGCACTATTCACTGTGACACCTAGTTGGTGCTTGGGCAGGGGCCTATTGTTGTCCAATCTATGAGCTCCAGAGTGAATTGGATTTAAGGCTTGGCCTTTGACAAAGGAATCTAGCCCATAACCCCTGAGAGGAGAAGGAGAGAGAGGAGAAGAGGAGGAAGGGGAGGGAATGACAAGCTAAGTTGCCCAACTGGAACTGGCCAGCTAAGTCCATATTCAGGCAGCTTGGACTACTCGAAGGTTGTATTTGTCCTTCATTCTTGAAGAGGAGAATGGTGGTACTCTTAACAATAGTAGGGAGTTAGGAAGAGGAAAGAGGGCTTGGTGAGAAAGATAATGAGTTAAATTTTGGGTGTATCTAAGATGATTTTAGGCACACTTTGATAAGTGAGATTAGAGGTTGGGAGAGAGGTTAAGTTTGACAAGTAAATCTGAGAGTCATCTGGATAGAGATGAAAATTGAATCTGGGAGCTGATGAGCTCATCAAATGAAGTAGTATAGAGGGAGAAAAGAGGGCCTAGGAAAGAACCATGAAGGGCACCCATGGTTAATGGAGGTGACCTGGATGAAGATCCAGGAAAGGAGACAGTCAGTGATCATACAGGTAGGAAGAGAACCAGGAGCAGTATAATGTCATGAAAACTTAGAAGGTAATATTAAGGAGAAGAGATCTGCAGAGAGGTCAGAAAGGATGAGGACTGGAAAAAGGTCATTAGATTTGGCAATAGAGATCTAATTAGTAACTTTGGAGAGAAAAGTTTCAGTTGAATGATAAAGTGAGAAGCTAGACTGCAAAGAGTTAAGAAGAGAATGAGAGGAATGGAAGTGGAGGTATTGATTTTAGATTGCTTTCTTATGGAGTTTAGCTAACTGATGGATCAAGTGAAGGTTTTTGGAGGGTGGGGGAGACATGGGCATATTTATAGACATAGAATGGAATAAAATAGGAGAGGGGTTAGTGTTGGGAATGAGGGCCATCCCTCATGTGAGACAGATGAAGGAGATAGTGCCATGAGGCATTTGAGTGAAGTGAAATAAGGGGTAAGGGAGAAGAGGGAACTTTGAACAGAAGGTCTCCTTCCCCACTTCCTTCCCCCCCCCCCCAGTGAAATACAACTCAGATAGATAAAGCATTTATCAAGCACTTTCTGTGTGCTAGGCACTGTGCTAAGTGTTGGGAATACAATACAAGCAAAAAAAAAGCCCTTACTCTCAGGCAGCTTACATTCTAATGGGGGAAGACAACAAATAAATGGGAGCTAGAGGCAAGAGGGTGGTACCTGTGTTGGAGGTAAGGTGAAAAAGTCTGGAGAGAGTCAAAAATTTAGAAGTGAGAAGTGAGCATAGATGGTCTGGTACTTCCTTACAGGGTGATTTCAGCCAGGAACACACCAATCAAAGGAAGGGATCATAGGAACTGAGGCATATCCAAAGGTGAGCAGGCTTCTGGGGTGCTTTAGAGCTCAGGAAGAAGATAGGACTGGATGTGTAATTTGGGAGTTATCTGCATAGAAACAAGAATTGAACTTATGGGAGCTTATCAGATCATTGAGAGAGTATAAGGGAAGTCGCCAAGAAGTCTATGATTCTCTGGTTCAGAGTAGCCCTCTGGTACGGTTCACTCAAAGTTAGGCAGAATGTGAGTGTGCTCTGACAGAGGAGGAGGCTGAGAAGGGTCAGTCAGATAGGAGGAGAACCAATAGATGGCATTATCCGGAAAGCCGTGGCGATCAAAACTAAAATAATGTGTGATTAACAGTTCCAGGTTACAGAGAGGTCAGGAAGGATGAGGCAGCTAGGTGGTGCAGTAGTTCAAATACAACCTTAGACACTTAACTAGCTCTGTGACCGCCCTGGACAAGTCACTTAACTTCTGTCTGCCTCAATTTCCTCCACTGTAAAATGGGGATAACAATAGCACCTACCACACAGAGTTGTTGTGAGGATCAAATGAAATAGATTTGTAAAGTGCTGGAACATAGTAGGCACTTAGAAATGCTTGTTCCCTTCCCTTCCCCTGAAAAAAGACCATTGTATTTAGCAGTTATAAGAGGGTATTAATTTAAAAGAAAAGAGGTCAATGGAAACCTTGGAGATACTATTGGTTACCTAATCAAAGTCCTGCTACTGCTTCAGTTGTGTTCCATGGCTTGTAGGAGCAAGTGCTGTCCCCCACTCACTGGTGCCTCTGCCAATCTTCTGAATATGTGTAAATGGTAGGGCCTAGGATATGCTAGTGAATATAGCTCAAACCACTGTCGGGAGGAAGAATGAATGAATGTTTCAATAAGTTCAGGCCCTCATTTTCCCTCCTTTTACCTTGATATAAACTGTCTTTTCTTATACTTTTACCGCCACTAACTTCTTTTAGTAGTGGGTAGGCATAAATCAATAGCTAATTTGATTTTAGTGATAAGTTGAGTTTTGTTTGAGATTTAGTTCAGTTTTGCATCTTAGCACTTGTATAGTTAACTTATAAACTATAAGATAACCCAATTCTTTCATCTTTCTCTGTTCCTAAGGTAATGTAAACTAAATTATTTCAAAATTTCCTCAATTGCTATTAATTTTTTTCCTATTTCGCTTTTAACTGGCGTACTATAAAGTTTTTAGGAGAAAAAACATTGATTATAAACATCCCCATTCTAAAATGAAGATAAATGACATTTATAGTTTTACAATGAACTGTGTATGAAATAATCTAGAATCTAGGGCTCCTTAAACCTAGGTACACTGTTTCCATTAAACGTTCTAGTTTGCATGTCTGTATAAAGTCAAGGAACCATATATCACAGCAGAAATAGTCAAGACATGCAGGATAAGAGTTAAGTTTAAAATTTAAATATTACATTGCATTCAGCAAATCTTAGTTGCCTTGATGGGTTTTTTTTCTGTCTTTGAAGTCTTTCTTTGTTAAAAGAAAAAAGTCTTTCTCTACAAAGGTTAAGCAATTTATCTAAGGTATACAGGTTAGTAGTTAGTATAGTAGGTGACAGAACCCAGATGGTCTCATTCCCTATCCAGGACTCTTTCCACTGCGCAGTTTTTTAGAGGGAATAAAATCTAGCACCCTGAATGAGACAGAAGTTGATTTTACTTTTTAAATATACCTTTTTGAGTTTGATTTTTGGCTACTAGTATTTCTCCAGTGTCCCTAAAACAAAGTGTTCAGAATATGGAAAGGTAAGTGATTATTCTCAGCTTATATGTGAAGTAATTGAGAAGTTTGTGATGGCTGTGATTAGACCAACAATAGAGTTCATAGTTTGGTGCTTGATATACTATATCAAATTCCCTGTCTGCCACTGTACTTAGAGTGTGTCTTCTTAAGATCTTCTTCCCTTTGACACTTTTCCCCATTTCCTTATCTGTTTGATTAGCTAAATTAATCAACACTTTTTGTCTTGAGTGATTACCCTTGTTCAGACACTGCAGAATACTAGGCAATATTAGATGTATTTCCTTTTGCCAAGGAAAGAAGAAAAGACATAAATGCAGAAAGTGTTACAAATAAGGTGTGATTATAAGGTGACTTTTAAAAATTAAAGATACCAGCAATTTCATAAATATATATAAAATTCAGTTAGTGTTGTTTCCTGGAAAGTAGTTACCTTAAACTCATCAACCAATAGCAAACTATACAGCTGGAAGGAAGGCTAAGAGAATGGATTCTTATATCACTTTTGCTATGGTTTATTTGACTCATGTATATATGTTATGGATTACAGACAGTGTTGTAGATCATAGATTTAGAGCTGGAAAGAACCTTACTCCAATATCATCGTGAAGAAACTGAGGCCCAGTTAAGACTTTTGTGGCGCACGACCGGGTTATTTACCCTTTTTATCTCTTTAAACAAATAATGGCAAATTCAGCAGTGAAAATTTCCTGTGCTCTTTTTTCACCTTTGTTTAAAAGTATGTTGATGTTCTTAGATTTTAAAAGATAAGAAATTCTATGCATTAATATTATTCCTGTGAACTTTCTTTTTTTACAACTTGATGTTTTTATAGATCTTTGTAGGAATTTGGCTCATTTACCCTCTATACTCTGCTTTCAGTGTATCTTTGGTCAAAGAAAAACTTTAGTCTATATGTGCTGCCTTATCCACTGGAAGAATGACAGATGACAAAGATGTGCTTCGAGATGTGTGGTTTGGACGAATACCAACCTGTTTTACACTCTATCAGGATGAGATAACCGAAAGAGAAGCAGAACCTTATTATGTAAGTTTGTTAGTGCTACTGTCACCAGATATATATACATTATATATATATATATACATTATATATATATATATATTTTCACATATACACACACACACATACATACAAATACACATATATTGTATCTGAATTTTAGGCATAACTGCCAGAAATACTTTTTATTAATTTAAGATTCTCAATTAAGGGGCAGCTGGGTGGGGCAGTGGACAGACCACTGGCCCTGAAGTCAGGAGGACCTGAGTTCAAATCCAGCCTCAGACCAAACACTTGACACTTACTAGCTGTGTGACCTTGGGCAAGTCCCATGACCCCAATTGCCTTTAAAAAAAAAAAGAAAAGAAAAAAAGACTCTCAAGTAAGCATTTCCTAGCATAGAAAAAGAAATGTCCAAACTGGGATAGTCTCTACCTCTCCTCCTTACGTCCCCCTCCCTGCCTCCCAGTGCTCCTGGACAGCTCTGTCTATCCCAAGACAATATAAGGTAACATTTAGTAGGAAAATTGAAGGAAGAAAAAAACTTTATATTAAAATATAATTTGGGGTTAACATGACAGAACAAAAATCTCTAACTGTAGTCAATTTTTAGCTAGAACTATTCAGTTGCTTCCTTGACCCTCTAGGATTGAAAAGGTTTCCTACTGCTCATCAGTATCTTTTTAAAAATAAGTTTTTATTGATGTCTTCTTTTTTTTGCATAAGCCTGGTTTCCTCCATTGTCCCTCTCCTTCCCCCTACCAGAAAACCATCCCATATAACAAATAGAAGAAAAAATATATTCCTTTCCCATTCCCCTTCCCCTTCTATCTCCATTCCCTTCCCCAGTAATTTACTAGTGTACCTGTTTTCCCACAATTCCTCCAGTATTGACTATTGCCACATTTTGTCATCTCTGTCAGTTTTCAGGATATGAGGTGAAACCTTAGGTTTGTTTTGATTTTCATTTCTCTTATTAGTAATTTGGAACATTCTTTCATGTGGTTGTTAATAGTTTGCAGTTCTTTTGGGAACTGTTCATATCTTTCCATCATTTATCTATTGGGGAGTGGCTTTTGCATATATGTTACATGCATATATATATATATATATATATATATATATATCTGCTAATTGTTTATGTAGCATGTGTGTATGCTAATTGTTTATGTATCTTAGAGAAATTGGTACAAAGAATCTTCCCCTTTGCTTACCTTCTTAAGTGCGTTATTTTGTTTTTGCAGAAGTCTCATTGTAATCAGTTATCTGTTTTATCTTTTGTAATTACCTGTATACTTTGACTAAGAAAACTTCTCCTAACCATGGCTATGAGATGTCTATGCCCAATTTCTTTCTTAAAGAAACCAATAGCAAAAAAATTTTGAATTATGACTAAATTGAAATTGGTTTTATTATTTTTATTTAGGTAACTTTTTGGGTTCCCAGACTTTTTCTGGGGTACTTATTTTTCTAAGTTATTATTGACTATATAAGGCTGTTATCCTTTGCCATTGGGAATATTGTGTTCTAAACTCTTTGCTCGTTTATCATAGTGGGTGTTAAATTGTGTATGATCCTAACTATGGCTCCTTGATACTTGAATTCTTTCTTCCTGGCTGCTTATGCTATTTTTCCTTTGGAAGCTCTGGATTTTTATTATAGTGTTTCTGAGAGTTTTCATTTGGGGGATTTCAAGCAGTGACTTGTAGATTCTTTCTTTTTCCATTTGATTCTAAGAAATCTGGGGAGTTTTCTTTTAAGATATTTTGAAATGCGGCATCTAGGCTCATAGCTTTCAGGAAGTCCAATGATTCTTAATATTTTTTTCTCCTAGATATCTTTCCAGGTCAGTTGTTTTTACTGTGAGATGCCTTTCAATTTTCTTTTTTAGTCAGTTGACTTTATTTTAATATTTCTTGTTGTTTCATCGAGTCATTGGCTTCCATTTGGTCCATTCTAATTTTCAGGGAATTTGTTGCTTGGGCAAAGCTGTTAATTACCTTTCTTATTCTTTTGGCCATAGCTCTCATTTCTTTTCTATTTTTTCTCTCTAGCACTTTTATTTAATTTATAAAAACATTTTTTAGCTCCCTGAAAAAAGAAAAGAAAAAAACTCTTGCTTTATCTCATCCAGGAATCTATGCCCAAGTTTTTTTTTTTCCTTTGAGGCTTGCTTGTAGATGTTTTCGAGTCATTCTCTTCTGGGTTTGTGTCTTAAGCATCTCTTTCACCATAATTATGATGGGATTCTTTTTTAAATTGTTCTTTAGTCCAGCCTCGTTCCCGACTTTATGTTAGAGTTGGGTCATCTGTATTTCTGGAGGAAAGATCTAGATTGGACCTGTAGTTTTCTTGTGGTATTGAGTGTTATGTTATTCCAGGCTCTCAGGTACAGCTCAGATTGGGAACCTGCAAGGTTTCAGTGCTCCCGCAGTATTCTGATCCAGGGCAAAGTCTGATTGTTGTTGTCCTTTGGTCTGAACTCTTCAAGTTCTTGACCTGGGCTTTGATATGAGCAACAGTGAACTGCACCTGTACTTAACCACTATCAGCCGTCTGGGAACTGGGAATTGGACTCCAGCCAGCCTTTTTAGAGTTATGTTTATTCCTCACCACACATTCTATAGTCTAGCCTAACTGGTCTCCTTGTCTCAATATCCCATCTCTTTTTTTTTCTGTCTTTGCACAAAGTATTCTCTGCACCAGCAGTGTACTCCTATACTCCCGTACTTCTTTACCTCTGTCTTTTAGAATCCCTAGATACTTTCAAAACTCAACTTAAGTCCCATGTCCTACATTAGGCCTTTCCTGATGGTACCCACTTTCTTGACTCCTGATGGTACCACTGTTTCCCCCAGTTAACTGAGTGCATTAGTGTTAACAATCAACAGAAAAGAGGAATTTGGGAGAAGGGTAGGTCTTATTGGAAAGGTAATTGATTCACATTTTTACGTTTTCAGTTTGAGATTGTAGTAGGTCATCGAAGTGGAAATGTCTGATAGGCAGTTGAAATGTGAGAGTGGATATCATGGCAGAGATCAGGGTTGTATGTACAGATTTAGACTGGATTACATGGATTTGGGAGTCATGCAGAATTTGAGAATTGGAAGGGACCTCAATATACTTCAAGGCCAAAGCGAACATGAAAGGAATCTCTGCTGTAACATAACTGATAGGTGTTCATCCACTACATCATCTATCCTGAAGCTATAAAGCTGCAGAAATGAATGAGGTGAGCAAGGAAGGGGCAAGTTTGGTGTGCTAGGATCTTTGCGTATAACCACATTTATGGGGCTGGAGAAAGAAGATAAATCAGTGGAAAAATAAAAACCAGTTTGAGGCAGGAGAATAATGAAGAGCAATTTCACAGAAGCTGAAGAAAGAGAGGGCATCAATAGATGGCAATGTTCTACCATGTTAAATGCTGAAGATTGGTAGAAGAGGATGAGAACTGAAAAAGGGCATTGAATTTAGCAATTTAGTCACTTGAGACCTAAGAGATAAGTAGATTAAGGGATGAGAACAGAAGACATGTTCTAGAGTTTTAAACACTTTTACAATGCTGTAAATAGTTTCTCCCCAACATTAGTTTCCCATTGGGCAGTGATCCTAATGAGATAATATTTCCAAAGATTATAGTCTCTTTTCCTCCTTCCTGGCAGAAATACTGAAGGGAATTTGTTTTGCTTGACTATAACTTTTTGTTAGTTTTCTTTTTTGGGGGATGGGGGAATGGGGAAATATGATAGACAAAATAAATGCTTGAACATATTTAATTAAGAACATCAAAAACAAAACCAGAAAGAAACCTGTGGGCTATAATTTAGGCTAGACTTGGAAAAATGGACTACTTGTCAAAGGCCTGCTTATTATCTAATGAGATGTGTGGTTTCATGGTAAAGAATTAACAGTGTCAAACTCCTGTGAACTCAATGTCAAATCATGTAAAACCAGTGATTGCAGCAAAAGGATACATTGCATAGTAATGTTAAAAAGTAGTAACATAAGTATAATTAAAAAAATTAGTAACTAAGAATAGTGAAAGAATGTTAAAAATAATAAATGTATTTCTGAAAAATGAGAAAACGGAAGAGAGCCAACTCAGTACCCTCTTTTCTTTCACATTATCTCCATTAGAGTTTTTACCTCATGCAGCAGCCCAAAATACTCATATCAAGGATCTTCCCTAACATATCCCAGTGGGCCTCACTACAGATTAGAGTTTCTTTATAAGAATAGAATCATCAGTCACTAGTACTTACTTATGGCAAATTGTAAATGGAATGCTGTGTAGCCTAAGAGGGTAACAAGACCTTCATCTATGACTTTAATTTCATCTTTGTTTCCCTGATTTGGTTATCACCAAACTCTGCCTGTCCTTTCTCAGTTTTCACTAAGGTGATTGAGTTGATAATAGCATTTACATTTGTGGCCTAGACTGTTTTAGTAGGCTTTCTGCCTTGTATATCTTTGCCTTTGAATCTGCTCTGCACGCAACTGCTAGAATAATTTCTAAAAATACTGTTCTCATGATGTCATTTCTGAAATGAACCCATAGCTATTGCTTATGCAAAGTGTATTAGTTTACAATCTCTAGGCCTGGCTTTTAGGTCTTTACTAGCTTCTGCCTACTTGTCCATTCCTTAGTCTTTCCTTTTTTTGGTATTAATATTACACGCTCAGTTGTACTTTAATTCAAAGACATGCATCATATCTTATCTCTTTGTGTCCTCCCTCTGACATCTGTACCTAACATGGAGTGGACATTTGATAAATGTTGTTGACTTGTTGACACTGCATCATGATAACTTCATGATGAACATAAGAACAGTATTATTTCCGCTTAGTTTGGTTTATTTAACTGAAGTGAACCATCTTAAATTTTAGTGCCTCTTGGTAGAAGACCCTCTTCCATTTGAAATCACTTGATATTGACTAAATTACATACTAATCTTGTTTGGGGGGGGAATAGTTTTGAGAAGTGTTACTGGTTCAGATCAGTGTACCTGGTAGCACATAGTAATACTTAATAATTACTTGTTGATTGATTGACTTTCTGGTTTTTATGTTAATAAGTTGAAGCTTTCTGCTTCTACCTGCATTGTGTTGCACAAATATTTTCTGTAGATAATTTCTGTAGTGTAATTGTTTAAAGCACAATTTTATTCATTATGTATAACTCAGAAATCTTAAAGTGTTTAATAGTTTTTTATCTGCAAATAACAATTGTGGGTTTATTTAAAATTATATGAAGAAATAAAGTGAATTGATTTTTTTTGTAACTCAGAGGCCTATTTAATGCTTTTGAAAAAACTATGTAAATAAAATACAGTTCTAAAAATTTTTATTTCAGTTGCTTTTACCAAGAGTAAGTTACTTGACGTTGGTTACTGACAAAGTGAAAAAGCACTTTCAGAAGGTTATGAGACAAGAAGACATTAGTGAGATATGGTTTGAATATGAAGGCACACCACTGAAATGGTGAGTGAATTTCTTTGAATTACATTATATATCTTTTATTTTTATAAAATACAGCTCAGTAGAGAAAATTGCAATTACAACAACTTCCTTCAAAGATTGTTGCTAATCTACCTTATATATTTAAAAATAAACCATCTTAGCATTATTAATAATTTTAAGTGGAAAAAATCCACTTCTATTGGAGTATGTAGTTAAATAGGCAGAAAGTTTTAAGAAATAATTTTGATTGGAAAATATGTTTTTATTTGTATGAGCGTCAGTGTGGCATACTGAATAGAGAGGTGATCTTGTTGGGAAGACATAGGTTTAGGTGCTGCCTCTGAAGTGTACTGACAAATCCCTTTATTTCTGAGTCCCAGGCTACTCTCTAAGACACAGAAGTCATCAATATACATTGGAAGAAGAAGTTCCTCACATAGACCTTCCTAAACCAAAGAAATCACAGGTGTACTCCATCCTCAAACCCCAAATCTATGTTTATATGACACCTATAGTGGTAATATTTGCCAATATTTGTCTATGCTAAATTCTATTATAGTAAATATCATTAGGAAGAAGAGTCATATTTGATTTTATAATTTTCATTTCTACTTTTATATTAATCAGATCCAAAATAAAGTTAACTTGACCATAAAATGATGAAAGATATAACTGCCTTGAAGAAGGCACTTTTTGGGTTGATAACCATAATTAGCTTACTGTTATGTTTTGAAGAATGCCTGTTTTGGATTCTGTTTTTAATATAAAATTTACTTGTTTCTTCCAAATATAATAGCAATTTGGTAAAAAAAAAAGTGTATTCTTAATGAAAACCCGTGTGTTCGTTGACACTTGATAACATAAGTCTGTGATAATCTAACCATAGAGAATTATGTATTTCAGATATTTTCTTTAGTAAGATATTGGAATTTTTGTTGTTAGTTGATTGATATATGAAACAGGTATTGTGGTGCAATGCAAAGAACATTGCACTTAGAGTCAGAAATGAAGATTTGTGGGAGAGGTGAAAGTCCAGCTTCTGTTCCTGGGATAAATCCCGTAGTAGTTCCTTCTTTGGTGGCAACAATTAATCTTTCTTGCCTTCCCTGAAATAACTCTTGCTGTCCAGAGTTGTATACATCTTCTTAAATCTTACAGCACATAGAATAGTGGTATTTATTTTTCCAGTCTACTTTGTAGTTCACTGTATTCTGCTGGAAAGGGAATGAGTACCTGGCATTAATGAGTTTGCCCAACTTTTCCAAATCTGCCCCGTTCTCTCACAGCGTATGAAATATAAGATGCACAGATCACAAGGCAAGTGCCCTTCTTTCTGAGACCCATCTGTTTAAAAATCAAAATTCATTTGTACACATAAGAAAAAGTATAAGATAAATATAAGGAAAACCAGTAGAGTGCAGTGTCATTTAAAGGGAGGAAAGACAGTCAAGAAGAATGGGGAGTCATCCGTGTCAAACCTGCAGAGAAATCAAGGACAGTAAGAGCTAATCAGAGGCAATTCATTTGGGCAGTTTGAAGGTCATTGGTAACCTTCAAAAGAACAGAATCTAAATTGGAAGGAGTCAAGGAGTGAATGGGTGGTGAGGAAGTAAAGGCAATAAATGTAGGTAAGGCTTTTTATAATTTTGACTTTGAAGAAGGAATGGTTGGATATTATTTTGCACAGAACAGTAGAAAGGTTTAAAGAAGGAGTTTTTATTTCAAAAGATAAAGGAGATTTGAACCTGTTTGTAGGAAGGAGAATAATGTTGGTTAAGAATCCAGGAGGAGGAGTTCACTTTGATAAGGGAAAAGATGACTTTTCCTTGGACACTGGAAATGAATAAGAGAATATGGGTAAATTCATGATGTGACCAGAAAAATAACAAATGAGTTTCAGTGTTGGAAAATACATATACCTGCCAAGACACACGGTATAACAACTATATGAGTACCACTGCCAAACACTCTTTATACAAAGGAAAACCGAAATAATTGGAGAATTATTAATTGCTCTTGGATAGGCCAAACCAACATAATAATCATAATATAGAAATTTATTTTCTTATTCAGTGTCATACCAATCAGACTACCAAAGGATTCCTTTTTATAGCTAGAAAAATTCGTAACAATTCATCTGGAGGAACAAAAGGTCAAGAATGTCAATTAATGAAAAAAGTGGGAAAGAAAGGGGCCTAGAAGTGCCCGGTCTCAAACTATACAACAAAGTAGTGATCAAAAACAATTTGGTACTTGTTAAAACATAGAGGTTTATCAGTGGAATAGATTTAAGTACACAATGTATAGAAGCAAATAAGCACAGTAGCCTAGTGTTTGATAAACCCAGGCATCCCAGCTTTGGGGGCAATAACTCACTATTTAATAAAACTGTTGGGAAACTGGAAAGCAGTTTGGCAGAAACTAGGTATAGAAAAGCATTTCACACTGTATATCAAGGAAGTTTGAGAGTAGAATAATAATAATAATAATAATAATAATAATGTTTGAGAATAGGAGAATAAGAATAAGCGCCATTCCTCAATTGACAACTGGTCAAAGCATATGAACAGGCAGTTTTCAGAGGAAGAAATCCAATAGTATCAATAACCATGTGAAAAGTGCTCTAAATAACTAATGATTAGAGAAATACAAATGAAAAACTTTGAGGTTCCATTTCACACCCATTGGATTGATAAGTTAATGAAAAAAGAAAAAGAAAAATGCTGAGGGAGTGTGGAAAAACAAGGCACATTAATGCGTTGGTGGTGGTGCTGTGAACTGGTCCAGCCAATCCGGAAAGCACTTTGGAACTCCACCCAAAAAACTAAAATGTGCACATCCTTTGACCCAGTGATAACTTATTACTACTACCTGAAGAGGTCAAAGAAGGAGGGAAAGGACCCATATGTGCAAAAATGTTTAAAGCAGCTCTTTTTGTGGTGGCAAAGAACTGAAAACAGGACTGTCCATAAATTGGGAAATGGCTGAACAAATTGTGGTATGTGAATGTGATGGAATACTATTGTGCTGTAAGAAATGATGAAGGGGAGGGTTTTAGAGAAACTTGGGAAGACTTGTATGAAGTGACTCAGAAACAAAGTAAACAGAACCAGGCAAATAATTTATATGATAACAATAATATTTCAAAGACAAATAACTTTGAAAGACTTGAGAACTCTGATGCACACAATGATCAACTGCAATTCCAGGACTCATGCTGAAATGTGCTGCCCAGCTCCCTGTAGAGAGCTGATGGATTTGTTGCTTATTAAGACATATTTTCTTGGACATGGCCAATGCAGAAATTTGGTTTGCTTGACTTTACTTGTTTATAGTAGGGTTTTGTTTTTCTTGCTTTCTCAGTAGGAGAGGTCTGGGAGTGAGAGGGAGAGAACTTGAATCTTACTCTAAAAATAAATTTTTTAGAGAGAAAATACACTGGTAATGTATGTAGGGAATGGCAATGCGAACCGTAATGTGATGGACCTTAAGCTATCAGAGCCCAGCAATAAACTGTTTCCTGAAGATATTGGCCCTTGTGTTGCTTTTGTAACATTATAAAACCCAATAGTAATTGGCATCTTTAAGAATGGTATTGACAACAAAAACAAACCTGAGCTTACTTTTGTATCAGAGTGGTTCATTCATGTCTAAAGTGTGCAGTTTGGTTGTTGTACCTCAAGAAAGATACAAAGAAGTTGAAGAAAGTTAATCTAACTAATAATGATAAAATGAGGTGCAGGCATGTAGCTATTAGTGACAATAGAAGAGTGGGAAATTGAAGGTTGAGAAGAGATAGTATATATACAGTAAGCCTAGAAAGTGAAATTGAAACCAGATTGTGACGATCTTAAAATGCCAAACTGAGGAATTTGTGATTTATCCTAGAAGCAATAGAGAGCCACCAAAAGTTCTTGAGCAAGAGAATAGCATGGTCAGACTTCTTTAGGAAGAATTTTTGGACACTTGTTTGGAGAATGAATTAAAGGAAAGAAGAGTTTAATTAAAAGGCTGCTATAATGGTCTGAGTGAGGAGTTTATGATGATGTGAACTAGAGTGGTAGATGTCTAAATGGAAAAAAGGATGGATATGAGAGGTGTTGTGGAGATAAAATTGAAAAGAAGTGGCAACTGAGTGGCTTTGTGATAAAGGACAAGGAAGGGTCAAGGATGATTCAGACATAAACCTGGATGACTTGAAGGATAGCTGTTCTCATAAAAGAAAAAAGGAAGGTTGAAAGAGGTCTGGGATTATTGGGAGGTGAGGGGACAGGAGGAGGGGGGAAGGATGTGGAGATAATAAGTTTTGCTTTGCACATGTTGATTCTAAGATTCCTGTGAGTCACCAACCAGTTTTCAATGGATTGGAGCTTCAGACAGTGATTGGGACCTTATATGTAAATCTGGGAGTTAACTCATAGAGATTAACTGAGTCTGTGGGAGTTAAGAGATCCCTAGGAAATAAAAGAGAAGTGAACCCAGAGCTTTGCCTTGGATACTACCCATAGTTAGGGGCTGGGATATAGATGTGGATCTAGCAACAGAGGCTGAGAAGAAGCAGCCAGACTGATGGGAATAGAACTATAAAAGAATAGCATCAAGAAAGCTGGGAGAAGAGAGAATTCAGGTGAAGGGAGGTGGTCACAATGTTTTAGGTTTCAGAGAGAATGATTCAGGCTGTGTAACCATCGATCTCAAAGTAGCCCAGAAAACTCTTCATGTGAGAGAGAGACAGACAGAGACATAGAGACCAAAATAAAGAGAAAGATACTATTTCTGAATTTTTTTTTGTTTTGCCAGTATTTATAGCTTGAGATATTGTTGTTTGGTCTTTTTCAGTCATGTCTAACTTTTCTTGACCCCATTTGGGGTTTTCTTGGCAAGGATACTAGAGTGGTTTGCCACTTCCCTCTCCAGCTCATTTTACAGATGAAGAACTGAGGCAAACAAGGTTAAGTGAGTTGCCCAGGGTCACACAGCTAGTAAGTGTCTGAGGCCAGATTTGAACTCAGGAAGGTGAG